TGCCACACAAACTCTCAGAAAATAGAGAAGGAGGAAACTTTTCCTAATTCATTCTATGAGACTAGCATTACCATAACACCAGAAAATAGTAATAAAAATGTACAGATTAATATCCCTCACAGACATAGATATGAACATCTTTAGCACCACTTCAGGAAATCAAATCTAACCAAATACAAAAGGTTGTTCTAGCATGACCAAATGGAGTTTGTTCCTGGAATTCAAGGTTGGTTTAATATTTAAAGTCAATCAATGTAATTTACCATACTAAGAGAATAAAGGAGAAAAGCCAGGTAAATATCTCAGAGAGGTGGGAAAAGTGATTGACAAGATTTAATTAACATCCTTTTCAAAAAACAATATCTCAGCAAAGTAGGAATTGAAGGAAATTTCTTTTGTCTCAAGGCAAAAGCAGAGCTATGAAATAATCATAAGGAATTATGCCTTGAGACACACAGCTTTTATACTAGAGTGGATCCTGCAACTGATGAGCAACTTGTGTTCTTGCATCTGGGAGTAGATAGGTTATAGACAGTTGTGTGGTTTGCTGCAAGGCTCAGTGAGAAGACAAATGCCTAATGGGGTTCTGCTGACAATTGTTGATCTCTGTCCCAGATCTTTTAAGGAGACTGGAGCCCAGTGTGGCCTGTGGGTCCCTTATGAGTTGAACTTTTATACCTCCCTGTAGGCAGTGGCTGTACTTATTACAGATGTGCATGGTGCTAAGTACTCTGAGAACTATAAAAATGATAATACTTGATGCACATGTGATGAGGAGGCACCACAGTCAGGTGGTTAATGCATGAGCTCTGGAATCAGACAGAATGGGTTCAAATCCTGGCTTTTCCACAACCTTATGACTGACCTGAGAAAGGTTCTAAAGTTGCAAAAGGAAGTGAAACCAAATTTGCCAAAGGAATTTAAGAGAAACCTGTCTGCCAGGAAGAGATGTTGTGGAGTATGGGATCTGGGCAGGAAGGCACTCTGCCTCCACCTCAGAACACTTTGCATCCCAGGTGATGCTGAGGACTCAGGCCTTTCCAAGGTGGCCACAAAGAAGGCTCATTTTGCTTCAGGGTTTGGAAAGGTGATAGACAGATCCTGTTTTGTTGGTTTTTTTTAATTTTAAAAAACGGTATTCCCAGACTATATCTACAAGCATGGAGGTGGGGTAGGGTATGGGGGTAAAGAGATATCCTCTGTGGTGGCTGCCTAAAAGGAAGAGGCTGGGATAAGTTGCACCCATGCCACTTAGTCACTCCTTCCCCACTTTAGCACATGCCTTGCTGCTGCCATCCTGGGCCTCCTGAGTGCCTCAGTATCTGCAAGAGACAGAGCAAAACCCTGTCTCTTTCCATCCCTGACTTTCTTACTCTGACCTCCAGTGAGTTGGGCCCTCACTCTGGCACAATCCAGGTTGCTCCAGCCCTCTGACTTTGAGCAGATTCTGCCCTCAAGTGACTCAGAGAGAAAGGGCTAGTGGACTCCCAGGCACTGGTTGCTGAAGCTGCCCCTCCAGGCCAGAAGTTGAGAAGCCTGCAGACCTGGTGCCCTGGTGGAGCCAACTCTGCTGGAACTAAGTACCCACAGTCCTGAACAGTTCCCACATAGCATGGGGCCCCATCCAGTGGCAAACATCTGCAACTAGCAGGTGGAAGTTCCAAAGGAACAGCCAGAAAGTCTCACTGGGGAAAGGCCCCTGGGCTTCCACCTTTGCCTGCTGGTGACTTTTCTTCACTTCCTTTGCAGTGCACCCTCTATAATGTAGCCCAGTGGTGCATCACAAACACCAGGCTGAAGAGTGCATAGTTTTCCTTGGAAGAGTAGGTAGCTAGGAAGCATCTCCAAGTTGCATTCTACATCCTCAGTATCAGATATGTATGCCCTGCTTTTCAACAGCAATGCTTTTAGCAAGCTTCTCCCCCAGCCTCACTGAATGCCAGTCCCCTGACTGTCACCCCACTGGTTCATCCAGACCACTGTGCTCCTTCCTCACTTCTACAGGTACCTCCGTCTTCACTGACTAACTGACACGATTTGGCTCTATGTCCCCACCCAAATCTCATTTTGAATTGTAATCCCCACGTGTGGAGGGAGGGACCTGGTGGGAGGTGATTGGACTGTAGGGGTGGTTTCCCCCATGCTGTTCTCATGATAGTGAGGGAATTCTCATGAGATGTGGTGGTTTATAAGTGGCAGTTTCCCCTGCACTCTCTCTCCTGCCGCCAAGTAAGACTTGCCTTGCTTCCCCTTTGCCTTCTGCCATGATTATAAGTTTCCTGTGGCCTCCAGCCATGCGGAACTGTGAGTTAATTAAACCTCTTTTGTTTATAAATTACTCAGCCCCACATAGTTCTTTATAGCAGTGTGTAGACAGATGAATATACCAACCCATCATTAACTGGCCAACCTTATCACTTCCACTGCCCAGTTAGCCCATCTGCAGACTTGACCTTCCAGCCTGCTTTGAACTTTGAGATGACCAACATGAACACCACTCGCTATTCTCTGGGTCTCATCTCCTGGTCCCCCCAAGATTCAGGGTTAGCCTGGAAGACTCAAGCTCTGGGTAGGTTTCCTTTGGTCTTGGAACTCCCATTTGAGCAGCTCATTGCAGTGTGGAGCGGACAGCCCCCTGCAAAAGGCAGTCTCCACTAACCCACCTATGTTTATGGTAAACATCCCTACCCCACTTTGAACCTTTCCTTTAGCCCAGAAGCCACCTCTCAGTCACATTCAGAGCTCCTAAAGGGCAGCAGCAGAGAGTCAGTCTTCCTAGGATCCCTGTCTGCACCAGCATACTTATCACTACTTCAGCAATTGTCTGTTTTCTAGTAGCTAGGACCTTGGCCAATGGGGCAGTCAAGCCTGCCTTTGACTCTGATGAAATCAATATGGCTACCATGTTGCCTTTCTAGCCTTCCCGTGGCAGGATCCCCTGACATATTTGATAACATTTACCCTTTGAGAAACGTAAAATCTCAGTACAAGCTCTAAACTGAGCCTCTACTGCAGCCCAGACACCCAATGGGAGCATAATGCCATCAGATTTTTGCATACATGGTACCCCCATGTCCATCTTTGATATCTCTGTTAGCACCCACCCAACCTTGGGTGGCACCTCAGGTCCTTTTCCCATTTGCACAACCACTACTTCTAGCTCTGGAGCCATCACTGGATGCGCAGCACCAGGCACAGTTCACCTTTTGCTAACTCCTCTCCCAACCCATTTCCATTCATGGACTCTGGGGCTTCTTTGGGTCATGACAGCTCTAGGACCAGTGTGTCTGCCCCAGGCCCAGCTGCACATCTGAAGCACTCAGCTTTACAACAGGGCCTAGAGGGGCATGCAGCACCTTAACTTATGTTGGGGAGGCTTACACATGAGCACCAGGGGTCCTGCAAGCTTATAGCACCTCTGGTATAGTTGGAGAGGGCAGTACTACTGAAAGCAAAAACTCCCGGGAAACACTTTCCTCCCTGCCTACAGTCAGAGCAGCTGGGGCCTGTCCTGCCAAAGCACACCTCTTAGAACATCACTGAGAAGAAACATGTTCCAGAAGGCACCTCTGTTCCTTCTTGTGTTCATAGCACCTGGAAACCATCTGGCCAAAGCACACCTGTTGTGGTTGGAGGAGCCCGCGCATACCAGTGCTTGGGACACTTCTGTCTTGCCCACAGACAGACCACCTGGAATACAGCTGGCCAGAGCACATCTGCATCCCTCAAAGGGAAGGTGAAAGCAGCACATCTATGCTTGGAGGCCCTTGTGTTTCCACCACAAGCAGAGCACCCTGTGTTCCATCTTTCCAAGCATCTATGTTGCAGTAGTGGGGGACAACACACTACCTGAGACTGAAAGTCTTCTCTTCCTGTGTCTGGTCAGAGCACTTGGGGCCCATATGGCCAAAGCAAACCTGTTACTACAGGAGAAACCTGCACAACAGAGAAGAAACATGTGCCCCAAGATACTTCTGTTCATGACTTCTGTCAAACACCTACGGGCCACTCAAGCTTGAGCACATCTGTTTCTGTTGGAGGAGCTGCTGCCATATCTGTGATGGAAGAAACTACTGTTTATGAATACAATCAGAGCATGTGGGGGCCATAAGTCCAGAGTATGGGCAGTGCAGTGCCTGCAATGGGAGGAGATGGCACCATACCTGTAATGGGAGGAGATGGCACCATATATGGGTTTGTTTGGTGGGGGACACCTCTATTCACGAACACAGCCAGAATGCCTGGGGTCCACAAGTCCAGAATTCAGGTGGACAATGGGAGGAAACAGCACCCTACCTGTGCCTGCAGAAACTTCTGTCCATGAATAGTCAGAGAGCCTGAGGTCCGCAAGTCCAGATTAAAGATGGTGCAATGGCAGGACACAGCCCCACACCTATGCTTACTTGAGAATACAGCCAGAGTGCCTGGGGTCCACAAGTGAGGAATCAGGTGGCAAGTGGAGGGTACAGTACCATTCAAGTGTTTGGATACCCTTTTCACCATCATTCAGAGCAGCTGGGACACTGGTGGCTGGAGCGCACTTGTTGCTCAGATGGGAGAACACATTGAAGAAGATACTTCTATTCTCACCTTCAATTGGAACCTTCCCCCTTTAATTTTGGAGAAAACAACATCACTGAGAAAATATCTGTGCTTCAGGACCTTTTCCACCTGCTTTTGATCGGGTCAAATGTGCTTCTGTGGTGGGCACAGCAAGCACAGCCTTGTCTTCGGGGCACCCTCGGCACCTGCACAGGGATTCTTTGGGGACAGAAGCACGCGGCATCACCCTATTTGTTTTCTTCTCATGTAAGACTTAGGGTCCTCAGTGACCAAAAGCAAAAGCTTCCTCTAGAAACGGCAGGTGACCACTGTTCCCTTTAATTTGATCTTGTTCTGCTGGGAGCACGTTCCGTGCCTTCTAGTTACAGCAAACAAGCTTCACCTGCTCTTTGTCCTTCTAGGGCAAACTCGAAACCCAACACCCTGGGGTGTTTGTGAATGTGTCCAAGGTCTTGGGTTCAGATGAGCCAAGTCAGAAGTTGACACACTGGCCTAAGATGTTCCCCTGTGGAGAGAAGAGAGAGGTCAGTGAGTATCAGCCGTGCAACACTGCACTCTGCTTTCAGTGTTACACTCTGGTTTCAGTGTTATCCTGGAAGACCTGAGCTCTGGGCAGGTTTCCTCTGGTCTTGGAACTGTCAGTACACCCACTGCTATCTATGTCTGCCACGTTTCCTCTGCTCATGTGTTTTTGCTCTAACTCAATGATGGAGAAAATACTGACTTGTATAAGCCATGATTGTTGAGCCAGGCTTAACTGTGCAAAGTTTCTGTGGCCCAGGGCCCAGGGTCTAGAACATGGAGTTGAAATGTCTTTTTTGTTTGTTTGTTTAATTTAGTTGTATACCAGTAATTCACACACGTTCACAACTTTTTTTGGTTGCAGGGGATTGTGGGGGAGACACGGGGTCTCATCATGTTGCCCAGCCTGGTCTCAAACTTGGCTCAAGTGATCCTCCTGCCTTGGCCTCCCAAAGAGTTGGGATAACAGGTGTGAGCCACCACGTCCAGCCACATTCACACTTTCACCTGTGGATGATTGGCTTGGCAATCAGGCTTTTGGGCCTGGAGGAAAAAAGGAAGAAAAAACTCATGTACGACTGCTCCATAATTTTTTAAAAAATTAAGTCTGTTAGAGTGTAATAGACTACATAGATATTAGTATCATGTTGCTTTGACAAATTACAAATGATTATCTTTTAAGATAAATAGTATGATAGGTTCTATTTGGAAAAATAACTGGTCTATCTTGAGTCCTAACTACAAAAATATCATCACAAGATTTCTAATTTCACAGAGACTTGGCTGACCTTGGAGTTGTACTGTGCTGAAAATACAATCTTCTTAAAGGTATTTTACAACTTATAAAGGTATCTTAAGATAGTGGAAAGAAAAATAAAGTACAAGCATTTCCTTCAGCTGCCTACAGATTACAGTTGTCCCTTGAACAATGTGTGGGGGTAAGGGGCTCTGCTTCCCCCACGCAGTCCAAAATGTCTGCATGACTTGTGACTTCCCCAAAACTTAACCACTAATAGCCTACTGTTGACTGGAGATCTCACTGATAACATGAACAGTTAACACATTCTGTATGTTATATGTATTATATATGGCATATTTATAATATAATAAGCTAGAGAAAAGAAAATGGATGAGTGGATCATCATAAAGGTTTCATCCTTGTCATTTTCGTGTTGAGCAGGCTGAGGAGGAGGAGGAGGAGGATGAAAGGGAGGGATTGGTCTTGCTGTCTCAGGAGTGGCTGCAGTGGAAGAAAATCCATATGTAAGTGGATCTGTGCAGTTCAGACCCGTGTTGTTCAAGAGTCAATGAATTATATTAAACAGTGCTAGGTCTTGGTGATATAGAATTCAAAGATTTATCTCTTGCATCCCAGTAATTTACAGTATAGCAGAGAGAGACAGATAAATAAACCAAATATTACACCTGGAAAGACAGTGGTGGTGATACGGGAGTAGGTAAGAAGGATGTAAAACTAGGTGTGAGACCAGTTAGAATGGTGATCATTAAAAAGTCAGGAAACAACAGGTGCTGGAGAGGATGTGGAAAAATAGGAACACTTTTACACTGTTGGTGGGGCTATAAACTAGTTCAACTATTGTGGAAGATAGTGTGGCGATTCCTCAAGGATCTAGAACTAGAAATACCATTTGACCCAGCGATCCCATTACTGGGTAGATACCCAAAGGATTATAAATCATGCTACTACAAAGACACATGCACACGTATGTTTATTGCGGCACCATTCACAATAGCAAAGACTTGGAACCAACCCAAATGTCCATCAATGATAGATTGGATTAAGAAAATGTGGCACATATACACCATGGAATACTATGCAGCCATAAAAAAGGATGAGTTCATGTCCTTTGTAGGGACATGGATGAAGCTGGAAACCATCATTCTGAGCAAACTATCGCAAGGAGAGAAAATCAAACACCGCAGGTTCTCACTCATAGGTGGGAATTGAACAATGAGAACACTTGGACACAGGAAGGGGAACATCACACACAGAGGCCTGTCGTGGGGTGGGAGGAGGGGGAGGGATAGCATTAGGAGATATACCTAATGTAAATGATAAGTTAATGGGTGCAGCACACCAACATGGCACACGTATACATAGGTAACAAACCTGCACATTGTGACCATGTACCCTAGAACTTAAAGTATAATAAAAAAAAAAAAAGAAAGAAAGAAAGAAAGAAAGGAAAGGAAGCTTAGATTGGACCTTGAAAGATGGACAGAAATTGAATAGGAGGGAGGAAAGAAGGCATTTTAGGCAGCTTGAGCACTAAAGTAATAATAATAATGCTTTTTGAAAAGAAAGGAGGAAACCAGCTTATCTAGAATAATAAGGAAATATGATTTGTGATGGAGAAACTTGCTTTATTGCTAAGTTTATTTCATAAGATATCTTTGATATATTACAAACTATATTTTTGTATACTTGAGCAGATCCCAGAAAAATATTTTGTAATTATTCTGAATATTGACTCTAAAGTGATATAAAAACTATGATTACTATGAAAATTTCATTATTTTAGTGTATTGAGGGTGGAAGATTTCAGTACATATGCTCTGTAATACTATCATCTCTGTGCACAAGCTTGTTCTCAAGTCAGCCAGTGGCTTTTTGTATAGTCTTATAATTTATGGTTAATATGTTCCTATACCTTTCTTCTTCTATTAAAAAAGTCAAATTAGCCAAAAAAAAAAAAAAAAAGCAAAAACAAAAAAACTTTTTGAACACGTAGTGCCTTGGCTTCCACATTGTTTTGGAGTCTTCCAAGCTATGCAGCTAATATTGTTAGAAGTAAGGTTTTAAATATAACTCCATTTTATAACAACAACAACCAAAAAAAACTAGGTGTGAGAGAGATGGAAAAAGATAAAATAAAATAAATAATAAAAAAAAGAAGAAGGAGGAAGTGACCAGGCAGAGAAAGGTTATTTGGGAGTCAAAGAAATAGCATGTTAAAAGGCAGGGAAGACTAATCTGTATAACAAACCTGCACATGTATCCTGGAACTTTAAATTAAATTAAAAGTCAGGGAACAAAGAGATCATGACCCTGTGGGACACTAGGCAAGTAGTCAAATGTGGTTGGACAGTGAAACCCAAGCTGGGAGATGTGGCTGCTGTGTTCAGCAAGTGCAGATCATGGACAAACAGACATGCCATGAGGGGGCATTTGTCCGTTATCCACAAAGTATGAGGAATCATGAAAGGATAAGCAAAGAAGTTACATGATATATAGAGATTTTAGAAACACTCCATGCGTCTCGGAAAGGAAGAATTAAATAGATGCCAGAATAGAAGCAGATAAGGCTTAAGAAATTTTTTTGCAGTGACCCAATGCAAAAATGAGCCACTGAGCTCCCAGTCTAGAGGAATTGACAGTGGGATAGTTGAAGAGATAAGGCAGGAGGCAAGGGAAGTAGGCGATGCCAACAAGACCAGGGCTATTTTAGCCATCTGGTTTAGATAAACCAACATTAGTTGTTTTGGAAAACATACAGTAAGTTAACTTTCTAATAGTTTGACATGGCTGTGGAAGACCCAGGTGATATGCATAAAGCTGTTCATTAGTCATCAGTTGGGCATACATATTATTATTTGAGACAAAATGAGTAGTCTAAGGAATACTTTAGGTAATAGCATCAATTTTTAAAAAACAAGGATAAAAATCTTATGAAAGCTAATTCTAGTTGGAGAAAATAAAATAAACAACAAATGTAATAAATTAGTAAATTATTTGATAGGTTCCAGCAGCAACTTCAGGGAGACGAAGGGCAGCCAACGTAGGATTGAGTTTGGGGCTAGGGAGAAGTGTGAGTTTCTATTTAAATAGACTGGAAATGGTAAACCTCATTGGGAAGGTGGAATCTGAGCAAAGTCTAGAAGGCAACAATTAAGCAAACCACACAGTTACCTGAGGGAAAGGCATTCCAATTAGTGGGACTAGCCACTGTAAAGGCTCAGAGGAAGGACGTCTCTTGCCCACAGGGAGGAGTGAGTAACTCAACAGGGGGCCAGAATGAAGTTCGCACTTTGCAGAGTGGGAAGAAGGGAGAACAGAGATGGAGAGGGATGAAGAGACTAAGTGGGGCCTTGGAGGATGTGATAAGAACATTGCTGCCAGGCGCGGTGGCTCAAGCCTGTAATCCCAGCACTTTGGGAGGCCGAGACGGGCGGATCACGAGGTCAGGAGATCGAGACCATCCTGGCTAACACGGTGAAACCCCACCTCTACTAAAAAATACAAAAAACTAGCTGGGCGAGGTAACGGGTGCCTGTAGTCCCAGCTACACGGGAGGCTGAGGCAGGAGAATGGCGAAAATCTGGGAGGCAGAGCTTGCAGTGAGCTGAGATCTGGCCACTGCACTCCAGCCCCGGCGACAGAGCAAGACTCCGTCTCAAAAAAAAAGAACATTGCCTTTTACTCACAGATGGAAATCATGGAGGGTTTGGAGCAAAGGATGATATGATCTGACTGAGGTTTAATAGGATCATTCTGATTTCTGGGGATGAGAGACAATTTAGGTGGCTATGGCCATAGTCATGAAGGCTTGGACACAGTGGTGGTGGTGCAGGTGATGAGAAGTAAAATTTGTATATATTTTGAAGCATTTTCTGTTGGCTTGAATGGCAGGAGCATGTGTGGAAAAGGAAGAAGGAATCTATAGACTTATAGACTTGCTATTTGAGTTTAGAAAAGGTTTTGGCCTCATCAAGGTATACTCGGTCACTAGGTGTATGAAAAAAGATGGCTGAGGGAGAATTCCTAGAAGGGGAAAATAGGGAGTGAGGACATGCGAGGATAACAGACTCCTAAATACATGTGGTTGAGTTCATTGCTTGTGCGTATGGAAATTACCCCAACCTCAAACCATCACACAAATGATGAATTGAAGATATCAGATAACAAGAAACATGAAAAAAACTAAATCCAGGTACATCATAATCAAACCGCTTAGTCACTAGAAGAAAATCAAAAGACATCCCAACAAAAAGCACGCATTACGTGTTCCAAACACATGCATTGTTCTAATGAGAAACAAAGAAAAGAAAGAGTAAGATGTAGCTACAGATGAATGAACAAAATTTGAATATATTATTATCAAAAGTTCCCCCCAAACAGAATATGGCACACTTCTCATTGGAAATATACAAGCTAGAACTTAATGGGTTAGTATTTTTTTAAACTCGAAAGAAAACAATACTGTGAACCTATACCCTGTGAACCTGCCAGAATGTGGAGAAACAGGTGCTAACACTACACCCAGTGAAACTCTTTTAAAAGTGAAGGTACACACACACATACACACACACACAACTCAACCTTTTTATACACATAAGTGCTTCAATAATTTATTGCTAGCATACCTTTCATTTAAAAAAAAGTTAAAGGAAGTCCTCCAGGCAAGAGAAAAATAGTGCAAGTTAGAAATCTGGATCTACACAAGCGAATGAGTAGCAATGGAAAAATATAAAAATATATGCATATACATACATATGTGTGTGTGTATGGGTGTATGTGTGTGAGAATGTCAAACACTTTTTGTAAAAGCAAAATGTATGGCACAATAACACAAATGGTGAGACGAGAGAAATGGAAGTGTACTGTTCTTATTGTATAATTCTTATACTGTATGTGAAACAATATAATATTACTTGGAGGTAGACTATATATGTTACCCTATATAGTTTATACTATAGCAAGTAGTATATCCTATATAATATAAAGAATCACTTTTAAAACACTTAAGAATTATATCTAGTAGGTAAACAAGAGAGATAAAATGGAATCACGAAAATAATCCAAAAGAAGGTATACAAAAAGGAAAAGGAAACAAAGACCAGATGGAACAAAGAGGAAACAGCAGCAAAACTGTCAGTGTAGACACAACGACATCTAACTATATTAGATTTAATGGTCTAAATGTATGATTTGAAAGGCAGAGATTGTGAGATTGGATTAAAAATACAAAACTATATGCTATGTATTAAAAAAAAAGCCACTTGAGGCTGGGCGCAGTGGCTCATGCCTGTAATCCTAGCACTTTGGGAGGCCGAGGCAGGCGGATCATGAGGCCGGGAGATGGAGACCATCCTGGCTAACACGGTGAAACCCCATCTCTACTAAAAATACAAAATATTAGCTGGGTGTGGTGGCAGGCACCTGTAGTCCCAGCTACTTGGGAAGCTGAGGCAGGAGAATGGCATGAACCTGGGAGGCGGAGCTTGCAGTGAGCCGAGATCACGCCACTGCACTCTAGCCTGGGCGACAGAGCAAGACTCTGTCTCAAAACAAAAACAAAAACAAAAACAAAACAAAACAAAACAAAACAAAAATGACTTGAAACATAACAACGAATATAACTGAAAGGATAAGGATGGAAAAAGATATGCTATGTTAACACCAATGTAAAGAAATCTGGAATAGTTATATCAAATGGAGTAGATTTCAGACAAAGAATATAATAAGGAATGAAAAGAGTTATTTGATAATGATAAAAGGATTAATTCAACAATAGGTCATAACAATGCTAAATGTTTTTGCACCCAATACTAGAGCTTCACATTATATGAAACAAGGCTGACAAAACTCAAAAGAGAAGTAGCATATGAGTCAAAGAAATCTCAAGAAAAATTTAAAAATATTTTGAATCAAATTAAAGTGAAAACACAACTTACCAAAATTTGTGGCACACAGAGCATGTAGTTCTTAGAAGAAATTTATAGAAATGGATGCATATATTAGAATGGAAGAAATCTAAAATCAATCTCAACCCTTACCTTAGGAAACTACAAAAAGAAGAGCAATTTAAGTCCAAAGTAAGTGAAATAAAAAATAATTAGAGCAGAAATCAGTGAAATTGAAAACAGGAAAACAATAGAGAAAATCAATAAAACCAAAATTAGCTCTTTGAAAATATCAATAAAACTGATAAATGTCTAAATAAAATAACCAAGAAAAGGTAGAGAAGACAGAAAAAGGAATATCACTATTGAATCACAGATATTAAAAGCATAATAAAAAATATTAGAATGCCACAAACTTGATAATGTAGATTAAATGGTCAATTCCTTGAAAGACACAGTCTGCCAAAAGGATAAATAGAGAATATAAATAAGCCTATATCTATCAAAGTAATTGAATCAACAATCAATAACCTTCCAAAACAGAAAGCACTAGGTCCTGGTGCTTTTACTGGTGAATTCTAAATATTTGAGAAAGAAATTAAGCTCTTTACAAGCAGCTCTAGAAAACTGAGGCAGAGGGAAAACTTCCTCACTCATTCTATGAGAATAGCATTATCCTAGTACCAAAATCAGACAAATCCATTGCAGAAAAAAAAAAACTACAGACCAATATCTTTCATTAATATAAATGGAAAAAGCCTCAATAAAATATTAACAAATCAAAACCAAAAATGTATAAAAATAATTATACATTATGGCCAAGTGGAATTTAATCCAGGTACGCAAGTCTGATTCAACATTTGAAAATCAATTAATGCAATCTATCATATCAACAGGCTAAAGAAAAAAAGTATATAATCATATCAATAGATGCAAAAAAAGCATCGGAGAAAAATCCAACATCTATTTGTGATAAAAAGCTTTCAGCAAACTAAGAATAAAGAGTAGAACATTCTCAACTTGATAAAATATCTACCAAAAAAACCTACATCATATTTAATGGTAATAAACTAGATGCTTTCTTCTAATACTGGGAACAAGACAAGGACTTCTACTCAACATGGTAATGAAGTAAGATAAGCAAAGGACACAAAACATATACAGACTGGGAAGGAAGAAATAAAACTGTCATTTTTGGCAGATACATAATTGTCTGTATAAAAAAACCCCAAAGAATCAATAACAACAACAAATGACCTCTAACAACTAATAAGTGATTATAGTAAGGTTGCAGGATACAAGATTAATACACAAAAGACAAGTGTTTTCCTATGTAGTAGAAATGAATAATTGGAATTTCAAGTTAAAAACACATAATACCAATAATATCATTTACATTAGCTCCTAGAAATATGAAATATGTAGGTATAAATCTAACAAAATGTGCACAAGATTTATATGAGGAGAATTGTAAAACTCTGATGATAGAGATTAAAAATGTAATCAAATGGAAAGATATTCCATGTTCATTGATGGAGAGACTCAATGTTGTTGAGATGTGATTTATTCTCAAATTGACTATATTTCAACAGAATCCAAATAGAAATACCAGCAAGTTGCTTTGTGGATATTAACAAACTGATTCTAAAGTTCATAAGGAAAGTCTAAAGGACCAGAATATCCAGCGCAGTATTAAAGAATGAAGCATATTGACACTACCCAACTTCAAGACTTACTATAAGGCTACAGTAGTCGAGACAGTGTGGTATTGAAGAAAAAGCAGATAAATTGATTAACAGAACAGAATAAATAACCCAGAAATAGATCCATACACATATAGTTAACTGATACTTGACCAAGGAGACAGGCAATTCAGTGGAGAAATGATAGCCTTTCCAACAAATGGTGCTGGAACAACTGGATTTACACGTGTTAAAAAACTTAACTTGGATACTGACCTTACACCTTTCACATAAATTAACTCAAAATTTACCACAGACCCAGATGTAAAAATTATAAAACTTTTAGGAGATAACATAGGAGAAAAATCTAAGTGACCTTGGGTTTGGCAATAACTTTTTAGATACAACACAAAAAGCTTGATCCATGAAAGAAAAAAAAAAAAAGATCAACTGGACCTCATTAATGTTAAAAACTACTGCTCACTAAAAACTATTAAGAGAATGAAAAAATGAGCCACTGACTAGGGAAAATTATTTGTAAAACACATCTCTGATAAAGGACTGGTAATTGAAATATAAAAAGACCTCTTAAAACTCAACAGTAAGAAAATGAACAACCAATTAAAAAGTGGCCAAAAATCTGAACAGACACCTCAACAACAAAAATATACAGATGACAAATAAGATATGAAAATATGCTTAACATCCTGTGTTTAGGTAAGAGCAAATTAAAATAATGAGATACCACTACTCACCTGTTAGAGTGGCTGAAATCCAAAACACTGACAACATCAAATGCTGGTAACGATGTAGAGAAATGGTATATCCACTTGGAAGACACTTTGGTGGTTTCTTACAAAGCTAATCATACTCTTACCATATGATTCAGCTATTGTGCTCCTAAGTATTTACCTAAATGAATTGAAATCTGTATCCACGTAAAAACTTGTACAAGAGGGCTGGGTGCAGTGGCTCACGCCTGTGATGGCTTGAGCCCGGATGCTCAAGACCAGCCTAGGGCAACATAGCCAGACCTTCATCTCTACAAAAATTTTAAAAATTGGCTGGGCATGGTGGCATGTGCCTGTAGTCACAGCTACTTGGAAGGCTGAGGCAGAAGGATCACTCAAGCCCAGGAGTTCAAGGGTGCAGTGAGCTGTGATAGTGCTACTGCACTACAGCCTGGGAGACAGAGCAGGACCCAGGCTCAAGAAAAAAAAATGGCAACATGGTTTCTCTATGGTCCCCACCAGCCACCAGCACCGGAAGCAGCTGCGAAGCCAGCCTTCCCCAGTTTCTCCCCGGCAGCGCTGGGTTGGTGCTTCCCCGCCGGGAAGAGTGTCCATAAGGAGAGCTCCACTTCCTTGAGGATTAAAGCCTAACAGTACTGAGGTATTTGCCAGTCGAAATGTCTGCAAAATTGGGAAAGTCATTATCACTCCTAACACAATTTAGAGGAGTGTGATGGGATTCTGACAGTGAAGACAGAAGAGCAGACCGGTGATCTGGACTCTAGCCTCCATTGGAGCAGCAGCTACAGCCCAGAGACCTTCCGCTGGCAGACCTTCTGCAGTCAGTTTGACTACCAGGATTCACCGGGGCCCCTGGAGGCTCTGAGCCAGCTCTGGGAACTTTGTCATCTCTGACTGAGGCCAGAGGTGCACACCAAGGAGCAGATCCTGGAGCTGCTGGTGCTGGAGCAGTTCCTGGCCATCCTCCCAAAAAACCTGCAGCCCTGGATGCAGAGGCATCATCCAGAAAATGGAGAGGAAGCTGTGGCTATGCTGGAGGATGTGCAGAGAGAGCTTGATGGACCAGGGCAGGTCTTTTTTGGACAAAGAAAGGACATGGTTGCAGAGAAGCTAGCACCTTCAGAAATCACTGAGCAATTACCAGCTAGCCAGCGCATGCCCGTGAAAAAGCAGCTCCAGGGAGCATCATGGGAGCTGCAGTCCTTAAGACCACATGATGAAGACATCAAAACTATAAATGTGAAATCCGCTTCAAGGCAAAAGACTTCTTCAGGCATAGAACTGCATCACGATGTTTTCAACATCCTCCGTATGAATGCCTCCCAGAGTTCCACATATAGAGGAATCTATGAACAAGATGATTCAAAATATGAGCATAGGATTGTAGAGTCCCAAAAGAATATGTACTTCAAGCCTAGGCTGAAGTGTCCCAGGTCACTGTCAGGAGGCAGATAAATAAAGGGCCTTAATCTCTTATGAAAGCTCACAAGACCCTCTATACTATTGATGATATCAAATTAATTTCCTGTGTTGGAAAAAAATAATCTCCTTTGCAATGTATTTTGGAAATAACTCATTGGAAACATTAAAATGACTGCATGTCTACAAGAAGTCACCTAAACATAAGGAATGTTTTCATAATAAGCAACATTATTCTATGGGTGCTTCTGTAAGGTGGATGATCATCTTAATATAAAGGAAAAAGGGAGATGAACAAAATTGTCAAACAAGACTGGTGTACCACAAGTGTTGGCAAGCGCAGTGTGTGATAGAGAAATGTACCACAGCTTAACTGGAAGAGGAAGCCCTTAACTGCTGATCACAATGCCTCAGTGTCCCCTTTTCCAGCATAAATCAGCCATGAATATGTTTCAAACATCACAAGACAACCTTTTCAGAGTCTCCTGCATTCTTAGTAAGATGAGTTTCTAGACATGCTGTCATGAAATGAGACCCTGGATTTTGATGTTCTTGTACATACGAACAAATCACTGAAGTTCAATTTAAAGGGTCCACTGCAGTCCTTTATAAACAATTGTTGAACCTAACCTTTATAGTTAATAAGTTTTAAAACAACATTTTTGGGATATCTTATTTGACTTATCTATGAGATATGAGTAGCTATAAGTTTTACCTGTATTTAATTCAGTCAGATTTCCTGTTTAAAAACAAAATTACTGACTCGTGCGTTATTAAAGTTATTTTGACAGTATATGCACAGCATAATGATCTCTTTTCCAGAGATTCTTGATAAAATTCTGTAATGTTATTACAAGAATACATGTATTGTGTTTTCCATGGTGCTACAGTTAACCAATATGGAGGCAAACATCAGAAATCAAAGCCCTTGAAAAAACAGAAGAGGATCTTAGTCAATTTCTTTGTCTGGTTGAGTTCCTCATAGAGTGTAAAACATTTCATTCTCAGAAAATCCAACCATATCTTAGAGTAGCTCCAGAAACTGGTTTAGAGGAACTCCAGAAACATGGAGTGACCACACTCTGCTTAGTTAGTATGCTAATAAATGTAAGATCAGTAGGAGGAGAAATGAATGTGAATTTTATTACAGAATTTTCTGATAGTGATTATGCTTTATAGCTCTACTGAATATGAATATGCATCGAGTTGTATTTTCAGTCATTAAAAATGTAGGATACTTTTTATTTGGGCCTCATTCTCTTTGTAATTAAAGAGAGGAACAAGCCCATCTATTGAAACAACAAATGCCTCAGAGATATGTGTATTGTGAATTACTGCTTAATTATGGGAAAAGTTTCTTAGGTTCTATGCCATCAGCTTTATAAGATTGCATTCTCTTTATTGTGAATAATTTGAATGTCTCCACCAGAAAGTGGTGCGAATCATATCATCTAAGTATATGATGAATCTTTAAGGGGTGTTGCTGTGTAATTTGAATTATTTTGCAGTTATGTAGGTATCCTAATGAGTGGATGGTACTAGTTTACATATAAGGAGAATTACTTGATCTAACCTTGATTTTTAAAAATTAACATTTTATTAACACCCCCATTACATTGATTAATTTTCAGGGATAGTAAATACTCCAAAATGAAAACAAACAAAAATAACAACAACAAAAAACACCTTGCACATGAATGTTTTAGCAGTTTTAATCATAACTGCCTCAAATTAGAAGCAACCAAAATGTCCTTCAAAAAGTGAATAGATAAACCAACCATGGTATATCTGTGCAATGGAATATTATTCAGCAATATGAAGAAATGAGCTGTTGAGCCATGAAAAGAGATGGAAGAACATTAAATTCATGCTGCAAAGTGAAAGAAGACTGTCTGAATAGGTTAAATACTGTATGATTCCAACTATATGACATTTGGAAAGGCAAAACTAGAGACAATAAAAAGATCAGTGGTTGTTAGGAGTTTGGGGGAGGAAGGGATTACATGGAGCACAGGAGATTTTTAGGGTAGTGAAACTATTATGTATGATACTACAATACGGGTACATGATATTATGCAATTGTCAAAATCTGCAGAACTGTATAACAGGGAGAGTTAACCATAATGTGTACTATAGACTTTAGTTAACATATTAATATTGGACCATTAATTGTAACAAATGTACCACATGAATCCAAGTGGTTAATAACAGGATAAACTGTGTATGTACGGGTAGAGAAGATACATGAGAACACACTGTACTTCCTCCTCAATTTCTCTGTGAAATTAATAGTGTTCTAAAATAAGGTTTGTTAATTTAATAAAAAGATTACAGAAGTTGTAACTTGACTTTATTGGTATTTGTAAAACATATAACCCAACACCAGCTGAACACATGTTTCTTTTCAAGAGCACATGGAATGTTCATTAAGATTGGGCCAAAAAATAAGTCTTAATAATTTTGAGATTAAAATACATTTTCTTTGATCACAATAGAATTAAAGTAGAAACAATAACAATATGATATCTACAAAATCCTCAAATTTACAGATTAAATATTAAATACTATAATAAATATTAAATTTAAATCATTAAATATTTAAAAATATATTCATATCTAGAATGAAAACAAGACACACTTTTATACGACCAATATATTAAAAAACAAGGAAAAATACAAAATATTTTGGACTGAGTAAGCAAAACACAGCAAATCAAAATTTGTGACAGACAGCTAAAGTGTGGCAGCTTTAAGTGTTTATATTTAAAACAGAAACATTTTAAGAAACAATGATTTAAGTTTCTATCCTGAGTAGAAGAATCAAAGAATAAATTAAATACAAAATGAGTAGAAAAGAAGAAATAATAAAAATAGAAGTGGAAATAGAAATGATAGGCATTACATTAATTCTATTAATTTATATTTATAGACATTTCTATATATAATATAGAAATGATAAAGTGTAATAAAATAGAGAAAGCTCTATCAAGATTGACAAAGAAATAACAAAGAGAAAACTCAAATTACCAATATTAGGAATAAAAAGGGAAGGACATGAGTCAGATCTGAAAGATGCTAAAAGGATAATGGGGAATCATAAACATCCTCTGAGAAAAAACATGCAAGTCCAGATAGTTTTTCTGGTGAATTCGATCAAATGTGTGAGAACAATATTTTACCTGTGTCACACAAACTCTTTCAGAAAGTGGAGAAAGGGGCAACTTTTCCTAACTCATTCTATAAGGCCAGTATTACCCAAATATCAAAATCTAACAAGAAGAGAAAATTACAGATTAATATCACTCATAACATAGACACAAAAGTCTTTAGCAACACTTTAGGAAATCAAACCCAACCAAATATAAAAAGATGATATTTTGTGACTAAGAAAAGTTGTCCCCAGGAAGGCAAAGATTCGTTCGACATCTAAAAATCAATCAATGTAATTCACCATATTAAGAGAATAAAGGAGAAACGTCCTATGGTGATCTCAATAGCTGCGAGTCTCACATCACTTTTCAAAAATATTCTAAGTAAAGCAGGAATTGGAGAGAATTCATTTCTGTGATAAAGCACATCTACAAAAACTCTTCAGTTAATACCATACTGAATACTCTTAACCTATGATTAGGAACTGGGAAAGAATGTCCATTGTCTCTGCTTGTATTTGATAGTTTCCTGGATGTTGCAGCAAATGTGAAAGATAAGAAAAATTAATAAAAGGCATAGAGATAAACAGAGAAGAAGGAAAAGTGCGTTTATGCACAAAAAAAAGTATGTGTATGTAGAAAATCCAAAAGAGGGCTGGGCACAGTAACTCACACCTGTAATCACAGCACTTTGGGAGGCCCAAGTGG